TAGGGGTCAGCCTATTGTCGCGATACTCGTTTGGTCGCCAACTGTTGATGAAATACCCGCACATCTTCTCATTCGGCACTTTCAACCGACAAATGCAACCCAAGAGGGAAACACTCCTACAAAACCACTGGGAGTTAATCCTCGTGGGAAAGGGTTGGTCCGAAGCGTACAGCGACTCCAGTTTCCAGCCGTCCATACCTCCCGACAAGACAATGACCGCTACCATCAAAGGAGGGGATTTGGCGTATTTGGACACATCGGCTATCGTCACACAAATCTCGTTCATAATACTGGATCTCATGCGACAACAGAAACTCAGGTACGGAGTCATGACGCCGGCGCTGGCCTTCGAGGGCACGCCACTGGTGGACAGACTCCGCGACAAAGGAATCACATTCAGTATAGCAGACAAAAAATGACACTTTATTTGTGACTCAATTATGAAATTAAATTAAATGTACAAAAAACACATGAAATGCTAGTTTTTCTTCAGTTTCTTCATGAGGTTCACCTGTTCTATGGCTGCCCTTCGCTTTCGCTGTCAAATCACAACAAAGCAATCAATTGTTAAAAACACTTCAAACTATTAATGGCTTAATCAATGCTTACGTTCGGAGTTCCCGGTCCTGAGCCCAGATCTATCACTTCGGAGATCTTTTTGGTGGGCGAGCCGTCGGTTTTAGTCTCGACGGAAGGGGTTGTCAGTAGAGTGAGGGTCGGTATGTCGAGAGTCTTGCCGGGCTGTGAGGCCTCGAACTGGTGCTTCAGTGACTGCAACTCGTACTCGCAGTTGGCTAACGCCATCTTAAGCTCGTACAGCAGAACCATATCACTCCGGAGTTCGTTAAAGTGCTGACAGATATCCTCTGTGGGCATGGGATGCAATTCGATGCTCAACTCATTCAGCAACTGCTCGATGGCTTTGGTCTTCTTCTGGCCGACAGCTGCGGGCAGTTTCATGCGCTGACTCCTGAGCGTCGCACCGGACGCCTTGATCTCCGGGAACTTAATGCCGGCGCTCTCTATATTGGGTGTCATCGACCCGCTGGCAATCGACTCGCGCTGACCGCTCCTCTGGAGGNACAGCTGCGGGCAGTTTCATGCGCTGACTCCTGAGCGTCGCACCGGACGCCTTGATCTCCGGGAACTTAATGCCGGCGCTCTCTATATTGGGTGTCATCGACCCGCTGGCAATCGACTCGCGCTGACCACTCCTCTGGAGGTGTGTCTTCTTCCTGCCGGGACGGCTGCCTCCGCGGGACTGTTGGTCCACTTTGCGCGCCTCGACAGAGGTGTCCGCAGCGGTGATCAACTTCTGCAAGTCCTGTGTCTTCTTCTCCCTCTCCTTCTTCCGCGCCTCGATTTTCCGCAACTCATTCAACAGCTGCTGCTCCTCTTCCACCTCTTCGGGCGTCCGGTCGTACAGTTTGATGAGTTGCTCTTTGCGGCGGCGCTCGTGCTCGGCGTCAAACACCTTGAGTTTGGGCTCCTGGCCCGGGAGGGCCCGCACTTTGGCCAACGCGTTGCACACACTGTAGAAGCGGTCTTTGAGGTCTTCGACGGAACGGATGGCGAATGTATTCCTATCCCAGCGGTCGTGGATTATAACGAATCTCTGGTC